AGGCCTGCAAACATAGAGGGCATTCACAACAGATGATCCTTGGACCTACAGATCCGCAGATCAAATGTGGCAGACTCTACATGAAAGAAGAGCCCACTACTCCGCTGATGGTCTCCCCCACATGTGCCTCCACACACGCCATTCTTGCAGGGACCTAGCAATTAAACCTCGGAGCCATGATTTAAACCGTTTAATGTCGTATGCGGAGGTGGGGAGACCACCAGCAGATTAGTTGGCTCTTCTTTCATGTAGGGTCCTCCATATTTGATCCGTGGATCAGTAGATCCAAGGATCATCTGTTGTGAATGCTCTCCTAGACACACACACATTTCTCTGACCAATGGCTGTCTCTATGAACACCAAAACTAAAGCCATGTCTTCAAAACTCAGTTACCAGCAGACTATGCATAGGGCCACTGTATAGTGTATGTGAATATAGGAAATAAAGGTACATGTAACAGAGGATTTCTTCTTGGGGGAAATGATTGGAAATTTTCACTTGCTTTTCGCTTCCCTTCTTCCAGCTTTTTATCTTGCTCACGAATTCTGGGAACTTCATTTCCCTCCTTTTTGTTGGTGGTTTGAAATTGGTCACAGCTTCCATTTTCTTCTCATCATGATACAGAAACTTATCATTGTCACTAGTATATACAGTAAAGTCTCCGTCCCCTAAATGTTGCTCCAGATAGTTAAGATCCCAATGCAGTGCTGTCTTTACCAGGTCTGTATTTGTCATTAATACTGGTCTCTGAAAAAATATAATAAATAATAAATAATATTTTATCTGCTTTAAATAATAAAAATGGCAATAAATGTATGATTTCATGGGCAAATCCAGACACCTTTTTTGTCAGTCTTCCAAAGTGAGTCACAGATATGCATATGTGAAAATTAAATAAATAAATAAATAAATAAATAAATAAATAAATAAATAAACTGAAATTCAAATGCAGGCTTTTACCCCAAAAAGGGTTATAATAATAATAATATTATTATTATATTATTATTATTATTATTATTATCTTCTACAATAATCAAATTTATACAAACTCACTTCATATGAACCTTAAACTACTAAAATATAAAACGGAAGATGAACAAGGCAGCAAAGCTGTCAAATGTACAGACAAAGAACAGAAAATAAAGATGCAAATAAGTGAAAAATTAAATTTTCACAAAAAACTGTTAAATTGCCAGAAAAATTTACCAAACAGACTGCATTGCCTACTGAAGCTGTATTTTAGTCCCATGTTTCTATCCTGTAAGTTTGAGAACAGTAAGTGACATGATTTTCCTTAAATGGTCATCATGGAAGCAGTGCCCAAAATGGGGGTTTCTTCAAATTTTGATGCAATATTACATAAGTT